TCCCCTGTGTGAGGTACACTTTGGAGTTTTTCTTCAGACAGATGGCGCCAAATCCAGGAGGCAACTCACTTCTGGCATCTTGGAGCCGGTGGTTTACCTTAGAGAGACAGAGATTCACTAGCTAGAAAGAAATAAAAACAATTACTTCTTTAGCGTGGACTATTCATTGTTCCTCTTGATTTTCGTGGCCATTCGGTGGGGGCAAGGGTGGTTATTCCCCATTCCTCGGGAGAAGGAACCAGGGCTCCTCAGAGAGTTGCACTGACCATGTGATCAGTGTGTCGTGATGCTGGAGCTCGGGTGCCAGACTTGGGATCTCTAGCCCGCGGTGTTTCCTATTGCTTTGCTGCCTCTGTGCTGTAGAGACTTGTCTGATGTGTTGGCGACGAGGGGAGGGAAGTGTGTTTTAGCTTCAGAGAGGGAGTAGAGGTCTCCGGGCACAGAGGAGTAAAGGTAATCAAGTTGGAAGGTGTGTGTGACATGACGTATCTGCCCTGGTGCCCCTACGGTCTTCTGAGCACATTATCCATTTGGAGATTCCTTTTCCGGTTAGCATTTATGGGAATTTACGCTTGTTAAAGAGAAGTTAATCTCCTGCTGTTCCCGAATATCCCAGACACCTGCTGGAAATCGTAATCTAACAGAGTGAATTTCAGTATTAAGTAAAGCTATGGAATTTAAACATTTCTTTCTGGTCTCCTAGCCTGTCCTCTGTGATTGGAAAATTCTAAATAAGCCCAGGCCAGGTGAATTCATTAAGTTTGTCTTAAACTTGCAAAAGGACTTTTACTTAGCACCACCGCCATAACCCACCAATACTTATTCATTTGTTTGTTTATTCAAATGCATGTATTGAGTGCCTAGGCTGTGCTAGACGTGAAAGTAATTTTTTTTCAATTCAATATCAAGATCACAGTATGTTGCAAGGGAAATTTTCTAACTTTTCTTTCCTTTCTGTAATAATTTGTATAACCAATGAGATAAGCTATTAAAATTCTTTGGATTTTTTTAGCTTTTTATTTTGAAGTATTTTAGACAAAGAAAAGTTGCAAAAATAGTACAAAGAATTCTCTTATAGTCCTCACCCCACTTCTCCTGCTGTTAGTGTATTTTATAACCACAGTAGAATGATCAAGAACAGGAAATTAACATTGGTACAATATTATTAATTCAACTACAGGCCTTATTTGAATTTTACCCATTTTTCTACCAATGTCTTTTTTCTGCCTCAGGATCCCACATTCCTTTAGATGTTATTTATTCTCAGTCCTCTTCCATCTGAAACATTTCCTCAGTCTTTCCTTGTCTTTCATGACCTTGACCCTCCTGAAGATTTCTGGTTAGCTATTTTGTGAAGTGTGCCTCAATTTGGGTTTGTCTGAAGTTTTCTCATGATTGGAGTGAAGTTATGCATTTTTGGCAAAAATACCACATATATGATGCTTTGTCCTTCTCAGGGCGTCACCCCCAAGGGTTCATGATGTTATTGTGTCTAATTTCTGGTGCCGCTGACCTTCCTCTCTTGGTTAAGCTGCTGTCTGCCTCGTTTCTCCACTGCAAAGTTGCCATTGTTCCCTTTGTGATTGATAAGTATCTTGGGGGAGATCCTTCGAGACTATGAAAATTCTGTTTCTCTTCAAACTTCCACCCACTAATTTTAGTGGATCTTGTCTGCAACATTCATTGCTGTGGTGTTAGTCCATGGGATATGCTCTTTCCTTCCTTCCTTCCTTCTATATTTATTAACTGGATTCTATTGTGAAGAAGAGCTGGCTCTCCTCCCCCGTTTGTTTATTTATTTGATTACTTATTTATACTAATATGGACTCTTGGATATTTATTTTATTCTATGAGTTAATCTGATACTGTCATTAATTATTTTGTTGCTCAAATTATTCTGGCTTTGTTCATGAGAAACCTCTTTGCATTAGCTTCTGCATTCTTTCAACAAGACTCTATCTTGATTGAGTATGTCCTTACTTCCAGACTCACCCTGTATTTTTCCTTCTCCAGCCTGAATACAGTTACTTCTCCAAGGAGTCCTATTTACCTTTTTTGGAAGATGGTGTTTAGAGACCAAGATGTGGACACTGGGTGTGCTCATTGTTACTGAGCCTCTCCCTGAACAGAGCAGAGATATATATGCACGTATACTAGTCTGTGGGGACACACATGTCTGTATTTTGGATCTATCTGTGTATACATTAAAAACCGTGAGTTTAGACTGATAACCTCTGATTCCAACCCAGCATCACACAGTTTCTTTTAGTCTTCCCATTCTCCTTATAGCTTTTTTCTCCAACGGTGAGAAACCTAGCTCTCATTATCTCCAAGATATTTATATATTTTACAGTAGTCTGATTCTAGTATTTATGTAAAGTAGTTTCAGATTGCTAACCCACATCCCTGTGAGAAACACATGGACTCACGACATTACAGTGGTTCCTTTTGTCTTCATATTCATGGCATCCAGTCAAGATGCTTTTTCCTAAGTTGCTTATGTTGGTTCTTTTCTTCCCCACCCCTTCAGTGTGGTTTTGCACTTCATCTGTAATATGGTTCTGTTCTGTTCTTAGTGTTTCTATTCCATTTTGGATTCCCCCACATCCTGGTTGTTTTCCATTGTTTGTTTTATTTTTGGAGTGTGTAAAGATGTTGTGAAACCCTACTATGGTCTAAGACAGACTGTTATACCATTAAATATACCAGAAATGTGCTCCTCTCTCCTCATCCCAGTGACCCCATTTCCCAATCCCTCCTTCTTTGCCCCTGCACCCTATACACAACCAATCTCTGGCCTCTGATTTATGCTTCCTGTGTTTCTTTTTTTCACAAATGAGGAGATACATGTATATTTTCTTATATCTCTTTCTTATGTGATGGATCATGTACTATGGATTCTCTATTGGGCTTTGCATAACTCCATATCAGTTTATAGAGATCTTGGTCCTTTTCACAGCGGTACCATACTCTGCTATATGAGTGTACCACAGTTTATTCAACCGCATATTGTTTCCAATATTTTGTAATTACAATGCTGCAATGAATATAACCTTCTGTATAGGTATTTTTGTATTGTTGGAGGTGTATCTTCCAGGAAGTGTTCTATGTCAAAAGTTAAGTGTGCATTTTATGGGGTATTGCCAAGTTTCCCTCTGAAAGGATTGTACCAATTTGCATCTCCACCAGCAAAGTATGAGAATGCCTGTTTCCCCATGGCCTCACCAGCACCAGCACAATGCATCATGCTTTTCTTTCTTTCTTTCTTTCTTTGGGGCCAGTTTCATAGGTGAGAAATGATAGTTCAATGTAGTTTCAATTTGTATTTTTCTAATTTTGCATGTTTGAGTACTTTTTAATACATTTGAGGACCATTTTTATATCTTTTGTGAATTGTCCATTTATGTGTTTTTCTCATATTTCTGTTTTTTTTTTTTTGGTCTTTTGTAACCTCAGTATTTTAGAGTTCTTTATATTTTAGGGATATTAGCCATTTGTCCATGGTATATGTTATGAATATTTTCTCCCAGTTTGTAAGTTGTTTTTTGTTTGTGATGTTTTTGTCATGCAAAAATTTTTAAATTTTTATGTAGTCAATTTTATTACTCTTTCATTTTATCACTTCTAGATTTTGAGTCATCCTTAGAAAGACTTTCTGCACACAAGGTTAAAGTGGAAATCACTCATGTTTATGAAAATACTTTGAAACATTAAAACCATAGAAGTGGGAGGGTTTGTCAAAATTCACTTGGAACCTGGGCTATTAAGACCTCCCTTACTTTTCTGACTGCCCCACATCGGCCTTCCCAGCTGATTCCTATTACCACTGTCAGCCCTTACCTGCTACCTTATTACCCTATCTTCAGGCTTCCCTGGTTTCTCCAGATCCAGGGACACCATCTACAACTACCCCAGGGCGTTGCAGACTAGCTTGCCTTCTCCAACACTTTTTACCCTTAAGTGTATTCTGTTTTGTCATGGTAATATTGTTTAGCAATTACTTTAGAATTTCCTGGTGAGTCAACCCACTTCACCTCCCTTCCCTTCTTGCCTCATCTCCTTTGTTCAGGCAACTCCTAAAATTCAGCATCTTCCTTTTCCAAAGACCATTCAACCATAGTCTCTCTATGGATGAATGAGCGCATTCACAACTATGTCTTCTGCATAAGAAACATTATAGCCAAGGGATAGGGTGCTCACCTGACGGAGTCTGCTCTATTCAGCAGAACACAGATATAATTCTTCATGGGGAGTGGCGTCGTCTGAAATAGGAAAATCAGTCTTTTCTACACACTGTAGACAGTGGTAGCTACAAAATATACTGAAATATTTAATACTTATAAAAGTGTTAGGTTTTTTCATTATGACTTTTATTCATTATGACCTTTACCTAAGTACATATGCAGGATTTTGTTAGCGTGGTATTTTGCATATCAATAAATGAAGAATGAAAAATGTAAGTGATGTTTGAAAGGAAAAAAATCTTTCAATCATTCCCTTACTCCTTCTTCTCTCTCTCTCCCCCTCCCTCCCTTCCTCCCTATCAACACAAACCTAAGGGTGGAATCTGTTCTGAGGCCACTGGTTTTAGAGGGTCAGAATGACTGACATTATGCTTAGAGAAAACTTATCTGCTAGGAAAGCCACAGATGGAGATATAAGTTATGGGGATTTATTACTGCATAGCTATGCATTTCCGTTTTTAATTTTGACCATTCTGGAGACTTTAAAAATTGATCTACAGACCTCTCTGCCTGTTCTCTCTTGATGAATATTTACTATTTTGGTTAGGCAATGATGGAGCTATTTCAGCTTCATGTAAATTACAGACGTCTGAAGAAATCTAATGGAGGCTGAATGAGACATATTATTTAGTAACCCAAGCTCCTGAAATTGATGCAATGGGAGGAGAAAGGAGGAAGGTATAGCTGGAGGATAAAATTATAGCATCTTAAATTCTTGTTTCCCACCATTTGCTTTGTTGTTGTTTTTTCTTTCAGGGATCCTCAAAGTCTAGATCCACCAGAAGTCAGCAATGCAAAACTTCAGTATGCAGGATGGGGCCCTACGGGCCAACAGCTGGTAAGGAAATCAAGTTCAGTGACCATGTTTTGATTTTGATGAAGTTTGCATTTTATGGGATGAATATATCTCCTTGTACTCAGTCTCTGTGTGTGTGTAAATTAAATTTTGGGTAAGTCCACCAGGGTGTCTGCGTATGTAAAATGGGCACTTCTTTTTCGGTAGAGATTTCTCTTGAAATTGGAATGGCGTATGCTTTGGTTCCCATATCCGATCTCCTACAGCGGTCTCTAACTGTCGCTGCGTGTAGACCACAGACCTACTGTGAACTCAGAGCTAAACCTCATCAGAAGGGCAGCCAATGGGAGTTATCAGAACCGTGGAACACTGAAAGTTTCCTTCATTTTGTTCTTGGAACTCTGGCTCATTTCAGAGTTTTAGGAAGAAAGTAGATGTGCTGGCTGCGCAGGGCCTGGGCCCCCTGTAAGGAGCATCACCATGCGATTCCCCACAGCTCGTGCGGCCTCTCGGCTTTACATCAGACATCTTCATGGATTCCCACCCATATTGGCAAAACTAAGGTGTTTGGAGAAACTGTGAATAGCAAGGATGGTGTAGTAAAAAGGCTCTGAATAAACGGTTGTAAGACGAAGGTTCTCACCGGGGGTGTTCACGAACTAGCTGATGCTGGGCCGCTCAGTGGTGTCAGGCCGCAGTCAGCGGGCCCAGCTAGTGAGTGACAGCTTGGGTAAGGGGATCCCTCAGGTTTGTTCAGCTCTCGCCTTGCATTTATCTAAAACCAGATGATATTTATCAGTTCTATTTAGCTTAATTTCAAGAGATTACATCACACTTTGCAGAAAGTCCCACAGTTTGAAGATCAAGTAATGTTTTTGCTGTGTTCACGTCACCATTTTCTTCTGCATGTTTAAGCTGGTTAACTAAAGCTGCATTTTAAAAACTCTCTTTCCCTAAAACGGCACAGAAAATGATCATTTTAAAAAATCTGGGGGCCCAGCGTGGTGGTGCAGCGGTTAAATTTGCCCGCTCCGCTTCAGCGGCCCGGGGTTCGCAGGTTCGGATCCCGGGTGTGCACCGACACACCGCTTGTTAAGCCATGCTGTGGTGGCGTCCCATATAGAGTGGAGGAAGATGGGCACGGATGTTAGCCCAGCACCAGTCTTCCTCAGCAAAAAGAGGAGGATTGGCAACAGGTGTTAGCTCAGGGCTATCTTCCTCAAAAAACAAAACATAAAAAGTTCGGGGCGAGATTGTGTTGGATAGGCTGTCCACTGTCTTAGGAATTGAAATTGTCTTATTTTTCCCAGTAGTACAATTATATTTTCCTGGTTGTATATTAAACCATTGCCTTGAATTGATTTAAAGAAACAGGAGGATATAGGCCACAAAACTATATTAGCTATTAGTGAAGTGTCTCTGATGCTACACACTGGACAATCAGATATTTTGAAAAGCACATTTAACCAATGAAAATGAGAGTGTGACAGGAGGTTGGGAGGACATTGCAAGCTGACTGGGCAGAGGGGCCACAATCAGTCAACTCAGTCATGAGGACACAAAATCTGTCTTTCCTCAAAGGTGCCAACTCTCAGACAACTCTCACACAAAGAAAACCTGCAATTTTGTAGGAGATTGTAGAGGACCTAAGTGTTCAAGGCTCATGTGACTGGATCTCTAATAGTTGACATCAGATCCCTCAGAAAGTCAGTGACTAAAGCCTTCCACAGAGGGCTATCCCTGTTCTCCACGGATCCTTCGGGAGGATCACACCCTGGCCTCATCCCACCACTCCGGGAGAGCAGCGGGAATGGGCAACCTTACCGAGTCGTCATTGTGCAGCCTCTTTATAGTCCTCAGGAAGAGGACATCGTGACTTGAGCACTGGGCAAGGCCTCTTTCCACCAGACCTGCTGCCTCCTTCCTTGTCGCCCAGGGATTATCACTCAGCTTGTAGACTCACACGTCACCTTGGCACATGTGAGAGGCCAGACACTATAACAGAGGTTGTGCAGCCTAGTCCTGCCTTCTGGACAGGGCTTGCGATTTAGAGAAAAATTAGCCCACAATTGCCAAAGGAAGAGGTGTGTGTGCACACGCACGTGCACACGCTTCAGAATTATGCCTGGAATCTGGAGGAGGAGGTGTGTGTGCATGCTTGTGCACACGCTTCAGAATTATGTCTGGAGGAGGAGGTGTGTGTGTGCACACGCACGGGCACACCCTTCAGAATTATGCCTGGAGTGGGGGGGGGGTTGCACGCACTTCAGAATTATACCTGGAATTTGGAGGAGGAGGTATGTGTGTGCACACACATGCATGTGCTTCAGAATTATACCTGGAGTCTGGAGGAGGAGGTGTGTGTGTGCCCACATGTGCACACGCTTCAGAATTATGCCTGGAGTCTGGAGGAGGAGGTGTGTGCGCATGCACGTGCACGCCCTTCAGAATTGTGCCTGGAATCTGGAGGCAGATGGCGTTCCGGTTGGTCACTCTCCAGACTCCTTCCTCCTTAGGCCTGCCCCTTCACTGCCTGAAGCCACTGCTGCCTCTGGGACAACTGACTTCACTCTCATGTCACTCCCCAGTGGACAGGGGAGGGTTAGGTGATTGCAGAAGTTATCATATGTAATCTCTTAAAGAATAACCAGCAACAGAACTAGACAGGTGTCAGCTTCTCTGAGAAAGCTCCCTGGCTCCCCTCCCCTCACTGCTAGGTGGCCCTCTCCGGGCTCCCAAGTCACCCCGTGCAAACTCCTGTCTCATCCTGTTCCTTGCTGCACGTTGAGTCTCTGCTCGGTTGGGCGGCCTCTGCCTCAGCAGTCAGCACTCTTCATCTTTGGGTTCTGAGTGCCCCGCACAGCACGTGGCACTCAGTAAGTATCTGTTGAGGTAAAGAATGAATGCATGAACGGACTGATTAATTAAATAGTTAATATATTCTTGTGGTCCTTAACCACTTGAGCATGAAGCAGGTGGAGCGAGGCAGATAGCCAGAGTCTATGCGTATGTCGAGGATCTTACTAACAGTGAGGGAAGTGCAACTTCCTTTCTGCTTCAAGGAAATGAATGTTAAGTAGTAATTGCTAATATTTGGGCTTAGTACCAAAAGTACTAATGTGCTCATGGAATTTTTGAGTTCTTAAACTTTTTTAAACTTTGGGATTTTTATTATACAGGTCTTGTAGTGAGTATACTAGGCAATATAACTCATCATTGAGAGAGCATCCTACGTGATGGAGCAGGAGTCAGCACACTTTTTCCATAAGAGGCCGGGTAGTACATGTTTTAGGCTGCACAGGCCCACACGGTCCCGGTCGCCACTACTCCGCTTCGCTGTTGCAGAGAGAAGGCAGCTGTAGGCAATATAGAAACAAAGGGACATTGCTGTGTTCCAATAAAACTTTATTTACAAAAACAGGTCCTTTGGCCTGCAGGCTGGGTTTGCTGACCCTTGTTTTAGAGGATCATATGCTCTGCTAGCCGTCCTCAACCGGGGAAAGCCTGACCCTGGAGCAGCCTCCTGCTGACAGGTACTCTGGGTGCATGCGGTCACTGCAGGGGGATCCACAGCCCCCGAGGAGGCCGTGCAAGCACTCACAACTCCCTCGCTGCCGTTCTATTTTAAAAAGTAAACATTGCTCCCCAAAGGAAATCTACTCTAATTATAATGAGTCAAACTGAAATGAGTAATTCTCCTCCAGGAACAGAGAACACAGCTGCAGCTAAAGTTCACCAGAGAGCTTCCGAGCATCATCCCCTCCTTGTGTGAGTGATTTTGTGATACTTCTGGTTCAGGAACCCATAGATCACAGGAGGATGACACGGTCCCAGGAGAGGGCTATAGGCATTTTCTCCAGTGCCTCTACGTGGCCTCCAAGGAGTGGCTCATACCTTACAGAGTACATTTTGTTAGACCTTCAGATCACATCATAGGTAATAAATACAGCCTGCCCGGCCCATGCGTTGTTAGAGGACAGGGAAAAGCTTGAACCTGGAGAGGCCTCCATCCTGCCAGAAATTTGTTTCTGAAATGGTGATGGTCATGGTCTTAGTTGTTCATGACGGAGAACCAGGTTGTTTCCAGAATTTGACATTATCTACTGAGCCTAGAAGTAGGAAAATGGATCTGGCTCGACTAAACAGGATTAAATGAGAAAACACATGTAAAAGGTTGACCAGCTGCCTCCCCATGCTTCCCCTTCTCTCAGACTTCATGAAGTCAGTGTATATAAAGATTTACATGAAAAACATGCTATTTCAAAATTTCTCTCCGTACTGTCTTTCTCCATTTATCTTCAGCAGATGAACCTCTGCCTAAATTGAGAACTCCTCTGAGTTTCTTTTCTTTGATCAGTTTATGAAGCCCTGCCCCCCAGGCGTGTTTGTCTATTTACATGAGGTTTTGTCTCTGCTAACCTAGAATATGATTAAATTGTCTGTTTGGAGATATCCGTTCATTTCCTTATATGTCTTCTCTGCTAGCGACATTTAAGAAAAACAAACACACTTTGAGGGCAGCTGCAGTGGCCTTCGTTGCACTTACGGCACGCAACACACCTGGAGGGACAGCCTCTTCAGGTGCCTTAGCAGGTTAATATGCAAGCATAGGGAACTTATGTCAGTTTGCTGCATATCAATGTTTTCCTTGGGAACCAAGTGCTATGGAAATTTTGGCAAATACGACTGCACAGCATTAGACAACATTAAGAATTCAGGGCTGGAATCTTTGCTGGTACACTCAGAAGATCGGAGACAAAGAGCATGGTGTCTCTCTGGTTGGCCTGCTACTGCGATGGTGATAAATGACCAGCTTGGAAAGAGATGTTTAATAAGTGCATTGGGAAGTCTTCAGTGCAGAGACAGCTTCAGAACGTGAAAAATGAAGAGCAAGGAGAGTAGTTGTCTAGAGAGCTGCTGGAGCTGGGGCCGGAGCTGTCTTCTGGGAGCCATGGTGGGGTGGGGGTGATGACAACCCCGAGGGAAGAAAACTGAGGAATGCCCACAGGCTCCGCTTTCCCGCCTAGAAGAGGAACCAACTT